CCACTTCTATAAATCGAAAGGAGACTACGACCATTCCAGAGGCCATACCATCTTGGTCTTCATAGCTGTCATTTAATTCACGAAAATATGAAGGGCAGCCTTGGTTTTAAGTTAAAACATTTGCTTTCAGTCGGATTAGTAGTTTGTATCACCCACATTAAAAATAGGACTTATCGCTTATTTGATTAAGCCCTATGTCACCCTGGATCATTCTAAATGATTCAGTGACCTATTACTATTCAAGGATTACTGAGTTTCGACGCAATTTCATAATAATTCTAAGTTATACGGTCGATTCTAATGCAACTAAATGTATGCTTCATCAGTTATCCCAATATAATAGTGTGATTAAAAGTCACTTCACGGATATCTGTAGCTGTATAAGGGAGCGGTAATATGTTGACACAATTCGCACTACTTGATTTCGAATCTCACCGCGTGTGATTATTAGATCTAGGCAAGGCCGAAATTTCAGTCCAGCCAGGATGAGAAAAACTTTTGGTGGAGTCTGTATTGTGGGAGAGTTTGCACTATCAGTCCATCAATCACGTTTGACGAGATAGGCCGACGCTTTTGAAGCCTCGCTTGAACCTCTTTAAAGGGAATTTTTTATCTTTTATTTGCTCTCAAATAAATCTTATCCTTCAGCGTCTTCTTTTTCTTTTAACCTCAGATAACACGCAGTGTACAACTTGACCACGCCGAGCAACTAAAATCGGAACATGAGGATGCTATGCGCCGCTTGATGAACATATTCTCTTCGACTGAACAGCTGCTTGCCACAGACTTCAAACTCCCACAGACTACCGACATGAACGAGGCGAAAGCCGTCACGGCTGAATACACACGTCAACTGGAGGAGGCCAGACAAAAGCTGTTGCAGAAAGCGAGACAGGACTATGAAGTGAGCTATTCACATGATCGCCTACATACACAATTTCAGCTTGCAAATCCTCCGAAAGAATACTATTCTTTTCCTAGCTGATTAGGGCAAAAGAACCCTCGGAGCAGATTTTAAATTTATTTTTCTGCGACATTCTCAGATAATAGAGTGACCGGATCACATAACTTATTTATATTCTTTATTTACCGAATGCCAAATATACTTTATTGCCTTGGATACTGCGACCTATTTCCGTTTTTATCTTTATTTCATCTACTTTCCGCACACAATATATCCTCCTTTACTTTCCTTGATGCAACCATTAACAACCAATCACATACAAATACACACACATACACACACAGGAAGCAATGAAGACGGCCGAGGCTTTAATGGAGGCGGCCCGGAAGGGCGAGATCAGCATGGATGAGGCTGAGCGATTCATGGCGGCTACGAAGGCCGCTGGAGAGCGTCTCTTTCGGATGGCCAATCAGGACGTCCAGCAGCGGTTGATTGAAGTACAGACGGCCGTTGAGCAAGCCGTCGAATTTGCTCTGAGGCTGGCCCAGCTAACCGATTGGATGCAGGAGAGTGAGAGCCTCGGTGAGATTGGTGAGACAGCAGATCTACAGATTACCTCGCTAAATTTTGACCTTAGTGGGCTCTCACCGGACGAAGCTATAGAAAAGCTTAAGGTAAGATGTATGAAAAAGTGAACTGTTAGGTGGAGTTAGGATTCGTGTAAATGAAACACAAGATATGTTGGTTGAACACGAGACAAAAGTGTGCTTGAGATGTGTGTTTTATATAAATTATCAACAAATCTCTTATTTTATGATCGGAGGCTAGCAACTGGTTGCTTAAGGCTGAGAGGACTTACATACTTTCTTTGCCATAGCATCATTTATTGCGTTTATCATATCACAGAAACTCAGACATACCGATTTTTTATTTCCAGTAAATTTGCCTACGGTTATTTAGATAAAATCTAAGTTTCGCTTTAATCACCACAGTTCCTGTATCACCAGAAGCTGAAGGGCAGGTTAAAACTCGCCTCAAATTGGTATGATTTGGCAACACTAAGGCTCTGGATAGCTTCCAAACCAAACAATTTCTTAAGATGAATTATGCCAATTTTATTATTTTTTGGGGCATCACCCAATTGGTGAAAGCCATTTTCGAAAGTGTATACCCTTCAAATCTCAAGAAGTTAATACATGTTGCACATTGGTTGCCTGTTTGTTGTGTAGACCTCTATTCAGGTGTTCTGATGCCCATCCTTACGGGAGGCCAGTAAAGTTTTTTAATGGTTCGTTGTGCACAGCCATTGACAAGGTTCACTTCAGGCCATCGAAGCAACAACGAAATTTTGCGATTTCTCTTATTGTCCTGACCATCTGAAAGTCTGACCTACGAGACGGTCGGACAAGAATGAAGCACAATTTGGGCTGCGGGTATATCTGAGTTTTCTCATGCTTCCTTCTAAGTCTGAAGAGAGAGTTCAATCTTTTGATTGCTTGTGATCCAAGATTTAGCTGCTCCTGCTTCCGGTACTATTTTTTCTCTGGGACACATTTAACGTGATGAAGGACTTTTAGTTGAATTTGCTCATAATCATATGAGTTGAGCTGACGTGTAAATTGAATTTCACAGAGCCTTGCTTTCTCAAAAGTTATTCTCATTCAGGATGGGCTGCAGTTTCGACCTCGCCTCGAAGGATTATTCTGTGAGTGAGAATAACTGATCTCTCTAGATTTTTGCAAGATCCAACACAACAACCGCATAGATGGATAAACTAGTTGCATCTCGGATTCTCGAAACATTGGAAAAACGAGTAGGGAAGCTTAACAAAATACTACGACTCTCTATATATAGGCACGTATGTATGTATGTATGTATGTATGTATGTATGTATGTATGTATGTATGTATGTATGTATGTATGT